GTTAATCAGTACTAGTAAAACAAAAGAATTTCGAGGCAGCCATGATATTATATTTATTATTTAAGGAAATAAATAATTATAAACACGCATTGACTGAGTAGTGTGTCTTTAATCTGCAGGCACTTCTGCAAGAGGGCTATTGGAGCCTATGGAGAGATGAATATTATTCATTTCTATGACCAGGGGTACAATTCGACAATACTGAAAAAGTTTATAGCCCATTGAGGTCAAGCTGATGACCTGAATTAAAAGCATTATTATGCAAATATGACTTTTAGTTGAAACTACAGGGTGTCTAAAAAAACCCGAAAACTATTGAAATTAATCATTGTTAAAATTTGAATGCCGTGTTCATGAGTCTTAGCCCGTGGGGATTTAATGCAACTTATAAGATGCTAAATACGAGAAATTTAAGATTGTGATTATGATTAAATTTAAATTAGCCTTGTTATTGCTTCGAAAGAAAATGGTACAGCTGACCGCAGAACGAGTGTTTATTGCGATAAATTATACGCGTACCCAAAGTACAACGGAAGTGCGAAACGCTTTTCGACAAAGGTCGACAAAGGACAAATTGTAAATATTGTTAATAAATAGTTGTGCGTCCGTTTAAACTTTACGACTTTTTTAAACTCAAAAAAATTTTTAGGGCTGAGTTATACACACATTTTTCTCCGATTTGAACTAAAATAATTGTATTTCGTTGAATCGATGAAAATAATATGGCTAATTTCAAATTCCATCAAAATAATTTCATAATTTTCCAAATACTATAGAGAAAAAGTTTTTTGCCGTTAAAATTCACAGCAAGTCGTTAAAATTCACACACAAGTGCCAACTAGAAATTATTTATGGAGAAACCTCGAAAACACTCTCATAAGAGCTGTAAATTTCCTGTTGTTACGCATTGTTTATTATGCAGAAATGTCACTTGATGTGACATCTTGAAATAGACAAGGAAAAACCAAAATATAAAATCAATTCAGTAGGCCATTGCAAATACACAAAATATGATAGTCATAGAGCAGTGAAAATCGGCAGGAATATACTATCAACGACAGACTTCAATTTATCAATAATATCATGTATTTCAATGATGTCATCTGTTAATTAAGACGATGAACTACAGTATTTCATCCAAATAAAGTATACGAAAAATGCAATTTCGCTAGTTTATAAACAGTTCAGGGTGCTTCTTAAAGTTAGATATATCTTATACAACAATGTCAAGTATGTCATTACACTCCGCAAAAAGCAACGTTAATATTTAATATGAAGCAGCTGGCACACGAGCTTAAAAAGTTGATTTATTGAAAGCAATGTATTACTGCTTAAATCATACGCCTCTTGTTTTGTATCTAACGACATTGTCATTGAGACATCTTATTTAACAGATCTTCGTCACGTTCTTGGTAAGTCATTTTCACAATTGCCAACTTTTATTTCCTAAGTAGAACTGCTTAAAAGGCTAAAAGCCAAAACTGTTTAAAAATAACTTAAGTTTCATTACGAATTATGTTATGTATTTAATAAGAAATATAAGGCAAACGAATCGACACTTTTTTAAAGAATTAATGAAAATCGCATTTTGTGCCAGGTTTTGTAACGATATTTTACGAAATATCAGACGGTATTTGAACTTTATGTCTAATATTTTTTCTATGCATTGCGGAAAAAGTTTGAACTTTATATATAGCCGATAATGTATATATACTCATGTTGCTGAGTTTTAATAAATTTGCCAAAAACAAAGTTAATAATCTTGATAAAGTAATAATGTGCAAGTTTTCTTTAGTTGTCATGGATGCAAGTCTATAGTTTACAGATCTATAAATTATATCGTTTTGATAACTCCGGACAATAAAGACGATGTAAAGTCCGTTCAGCGCATATATTCCGCGCATAACAATGTTGGTTTACGTTGGTTATAATTATAATCTTTACATGACGTATGTATCGTTTTAATTTTCTCATATTCTTCTCGTTCTCGCTCGACCGGCTGTGATGAATATGCTTATTTCATATTATATTTTGAAGAAAATATTATTATATTTTGAAGAAGATATAAAGCGAAGCTTGTAAATAAAGTGTTATTTAAAACTTTATAAATTTGTAATTGTAAGAAAAGCGAGAAAGTAGCGTCTGTAGCGACGACAAATATAGCCTCGCAATCTCGTGTCCTCATTCAACAAACAAATTCTTGAAGCATTCCTTTCAGCATAATTATATTGTTTGTAATAGAACGCGCTAATATTGCATATCATTAACATTCCAAAAGTTGCTTATGGAATGTGTTGCTGCGCAGAATATATGCGCAGAACGGACTTTACCTCATCTTTAATTATTTTGGCATGTTTTTCCGTAGAGGAAACCTTCAGGGGCCGGTTGTATAAAAACGTAGTTAACTTTTAGCTATAGTTAGTTGACAGAATTGACCAATCGGAGTTTTCTGAGTTAACTACGATTCAACTACGCAAAATGTAGTTAAGAGTTTTATACAACTGGCCCCAGGCTTACAACTGAAGGATTGCGGAATATTTAGTTAAAATTTCATTTCTAGGTCCATTTTTCATTTCATTTCAGAAAAAAGTCTTCACATTTTAACTGAAAACCTTTAAAAGGATTGTTTGAAGAACCATGAAACTGAAGTTTATCTTATCGCTATATTTGCTGTGCATATCACTTGCAGTGGCGAACCTCGAAATAATTGAAACTAGTGCAAATTACATTTGCTACAATTCCAGTTTCGAAGGTGAGGCAATAATTATTCAGAATTTTTGAAATTGATAAGTTAAGACCGCCTTTCCTATTCAGCAAGGATGTGTAGCTCTACCTCAGTGACTGATTTGTAACGTTTTTCACGATCATTAACAAAGCCGTAAGGAAGATACACGGACATCATTTATTCTTAACACTTTTATTCATATTGCAGTTGATTGGCTAATATTTTTGCAGTTGATTGGGTCTACAATTAGTCCAAAAGCCAAGAATGGCACGTCATAAACGACGAATGTTGCGTATAATAATCGATTATTGGACGAGGTTGAGTAAAATATCGTGATTTGCCGATTCCGAAGGCAGAGCCACCGACAAATCACGAATTTTTGCAATAACCAGTTCAATATATAAATTATTATTAAATTATTATTATTGATAAAATTACACTTCTTTGCGATTAAAATTGAACAAGACGCCTGTTCTGGCGTTAACTCCGGCGCACGTGCCAGTCTTCAATATAGAGCTTCTGAACATAAACAATACAGTTCATATTCGCATTTAGATGCCTTGCGAACCTAAATGTTCGATCGCGAAATTCAGAAGCACATCGTAGTTTAAAAAGTATAGAAGTTAAATCGTTCAAGAATGTAAATAAACGGTATGATACATTCGCTTTGTCTTACACTTTGCCTTTGGAATTCGCGCTTATATAGTTATATTAATTCAATCCTGTGCAAACTACGACGAGTCAAAGCGCCCATACACGACCACATCATCTTGTTAAACGGCGAAATAGCAGCGATATTACTAAAATAGGACCAGAATCTACACTTATTAAATATATTCTTACCCCAATTCAGTCTAAACTTAATCGAAAAACATGAAAACAACGGTTTATTCGTTCTTCTTGGAGGAATTGCCGTATCATGCGAGCGAAATCGAATCGCGCATCGGAAAATTAGCCAAAGCTGTGCACCACAACTCTTGGGAGACAAGACTGGGACATAGATAAATCCAATCACATACACATTTTAAATACTAGAATGTTTCGCGCCATTACAGACTTGCGACGACGAAAAATAATAAAAAAAAAAAAATAAAAAAAAACAAAAACAAAAACAAAACAAAACCGAGGCGAATTTTCAACTCCGTCGCTGACGCCGGAGTAATTATGAAGTGTTTACAAGCACTGTGTGCTGATTTACATTATAAAATTTAGGTAATTACATGCAATATATCTAATGTTTTATATGTTTTATCACTCACTTATATACTATTATTTTTGGTATTTTCCGCGTTTTCGTCTTCGAGTAAACAATACAACTCATTTTCCGAAAGTTCAACAAAACGTGTCACCATTATTGCTTACAACATTGAAGCCAATGCGCATGCTCAGAGTATTATTTGTATCTGAGCAACGTTTGCAACAAATGCACATGCTCAGACTATTATTCGCACGCAGTTATTTCCAGGTAATTTAGCCAATCAAAATCGAGAAAACAATAAAGTGATCGAATGATGACACAATTTATAGAGCTCGATCATAATGAATTAATTAAAGTGGAGAATATTGTGGTTGAATAAGAATATTTAAACAATACTCAATTACGAAATTACAAATTTTATCCCTTTCGATTGTCATTATAAAATTCAAAATGCGTTGGTTTTTGCGTTTCTTTAGTTCGCCTTGACATTAATTATAAATGCCTTATATCGTATACCATTAATTCACTTAGCGATTAACGACGACACTTTTTACTCTTAGGATTCCGTCTAAATAAACCAGTTGTTAAGACAAAAGTCGTTTCTGAATGGATAGATTGCGTAGTGGAATGTGCAACTGAGATATGTTGTAGATCAATCAACTTCAAGAAGAAATTAACTACAAAAAATGATTCAAATTGTGAAATGTTACACAACGTGGTTTACAATACATCTGAGAAATTACTGGAGAAGAATTTTTCCTATGATTATGTTTATCTTCTTAACCCACAGAAGGTATGTTTTAGTAGCATACCTGTTGCGTTATTTGAGATACATCAACTACTTTTCACCCTAAAACATTTCAACATAAACCTGACTGCTTTAGTAAGATTTAAATTTGTTGTATGGTTTACCGTCGTTATGATCGTAGATTGCAAAAAAGAAGGAATATTCTTCATTACAGGGTTACAATGAAAGTTGTTTTAAAAACACGTCCGATAAAAATGAAAGAGGTATGTGTTGATGATAGGAAGATTAAAAAAAATTCAAAACCATGGGTGGATAATAAACCCTTGGTCATTTTGATGCCCACAAGTGCGCTTCATTCACTTTCCATTTTTATGAAGTAATTTCAATGGAAACGATAGTCAAGGAGAGTTTGCCAAAAGTGTTTAATCTATTCTTATTCTGAATAATTTAGTCAAAGACTGCGCTGATATATACAATAAAGGAATAAAAGACAGTGGTCTTTATGAAATTGATCCAGACGGAAAAGGAAGCTTCAAGGTGTTTTGTGATATGACAACATCAGGTGGAGGATGGACTGTATTTCAACGTCGTCTTGATGGAAGTGTTGACTTCTACCGAGGATGGCAAGATTACAAACAAGGTTTTGGTAACTTGAGCGGAGAATATTGGCTTGGTCTTGACAAAATACACAGGACGACAAATATTTCACAAAATGAACTTCGTATCGACTTGGAAGATACATCTGGAAACACCAGATACGCTCATTATGATTCATTTAAAGTCAGCAGCGAAAATGAGAAGTACAAGTTGGAGGTTCGAGGTTATGACGGTAAGCATTTAACATTAAACTGAGTTTGATATTATAGGATTGTCCAGCTCTTTTTACAACCTCTTTACAAGCATTTTGCATTAAAGTCACATTTCAAAATACTGCATCCAGGCTCGTTCTAACGAATTAAAAGTATGGCAATGGAAAAGTTATCTTTCATTCTCAAGACTTTACGAACGACGACTTTTTTTCAAGTATTTAGGATGAAATTTCAGTCAGCTTGTTGTGACATTTTTATTACTATTTTCCTTCGAGAAAATGCAACAACCGTTCCACATTTTACCCCCAGATTCGTTCCGCATTTTATCCGCAATATCCGTTCCGTCCCGTCGATAGAGTTTCGCATCCGTATCCGCATAATTACAGTGGCAGATTCAGAGTTAGGCATAATAAATTGGTACTGGTGTTTACTTAAAAATATTCGTTGGAAATCCATGATCAATTCCGTTGTTATTAAGGTATTTTGAATGTAAAATTAGGCCTTTTTAATTCATTCTGCCTAACTCTAAATCCGACACTGCCGATTTAGCTATTAGTACACCTCGATAACGAGCAAACCAAACCCCCAAAACGATCATGACGTCGTAAATAAATGAACGAATGATTGGGGAAATTTAAATTTGAATTCAAACGAACAATTCGCAAACGCCAGTTCGTGTTTGATGTATTTTATAACTGGACCGTGTTCTAAGATAAATTTCCACTTATATTAATGCCGAAATTTTTATGTTAATCGCGTGATCGCAGTGACTACCCCCAGATCCGCCCCTGATTTTATCATGGAAATTGCACTTCGTGTCAAAAACCTAGTGCCACAAACTTGTGCATGATCACAAATCGCACTCCTGCTTCGCGGTCGAACGCACTCCTATTGACCTATTCGTTCTATTACACTATTAATTTTTTAAGACGTCATATAATTTTACATTAAGGTACAGCAGGAGACTCGTTGAAAAAACATAACGGTATGGCTTTCACCACCAAAGATTCTGACAATGATATTGATTCAAAAGGTAATTGTGCAGTAAAATTCAAAGGAGCCTGGTGGTATTGGGGTTGTCATGATTCCAATTTGAATGGTTTGTATCATTATGGCGCACACACATCGTTTGCTGATGGAGTCAACTGGAAACATTGGAAAGGATATGATTATTCACTGAAATCAACATCGATGAAGATACGACCACGTGAATTTGGAAAAAAGAACTAAAGTTTTTGAACAATAAATAACTAAAGAAAAAAAATAGTGCACTAACGCGTATTTTGTTGGATTTACAAACATTTAAAATAGTGTAATACGTGTCGTCGTATATTTACATAGAGGAGATTCTTCTCCTACGCCTAGCCTAATTCGAAGTCAAAGTTCCGAAAATAAACCAACTGTATAAAAGAGTATTTTAAGTATATAGTTAATAGAAGCAGCTGGGCTATTAATTCTTAGCCCACAATCAGGCGTCTCTTTAATTGGCAATGTAATGTATAGCCTGCATGTCAGGCGGTCCCTAAATTCGGGCAAGGCAACGACGATGTAAGACCACCTGCCGGGTTTAATTATGTTTTTTGTCAACCGCCCCTTTTCAGTCCAAACGCAATTAGCCAATCCACAAACGGTAATATTATAATAACAAAACTGTAATAACAATATATTATTTTTCGGCTGTAAGTTTATTTATAAGTCGAAGTCTGGTTTTTCGATATACATATTAATATAATTATTTCAGATTTCAAAAGAAACACCAAAGAACGCTTAAACTAGGACAAGATGTAGAAGAGCCAGCGCGGAAAATGTAAATGCCACTGTCGTTGTTTGTGTATGAGGCGACAGAATAGATGTCTGACTCTGACAGTGATATATATCTCGGAGGATTTGAACATCATATATTATTTATGTATTTATAAATACACAGTATGTGAGTGTAATCAGTAATTCTTTTCCCCCAGTGAATTTGCCTAGCATTGAAAATAGTATATGAGAATCATAAGCCTCAATAGATGATAGCAATTCTCAATGTAAATAGGTATGCACTATCCGCAATCATATAAATATATGACGGTAGAGACTTGGCGACTTCTGAAACGTTTCCATCGAAAGCATTTCGGCTATTTGAATAATTTAATCTCCTGGGGCTGGTTGTTCGAAAGGCGTTTAGCTTAAACGGTGGATAAGTTCAAAATGGAAAACAAAATTATCGATTTACTGAACAACTGAGCTGAAATATTTTGATGTAAATAGTTTAATTTTCAATGAAAGTACATATTAAACGCATAAGATGCAGGTTCATTCCTATGAGAGTATTTTTAAACTTTGGCTTATCCACCGTTTAAGCTAAACGCCTTTCGAACAACCGGCCCCTGTACAATAATACAGCGTGAAGATAAAATAACGAGAACGCTACTACGCTCAGCTTTTATATTTATATTTGCCACATTTTTCTTCCACGTAAAGTGCAACAGGTATATAAAATAGGCAGAACGGTATCATAACTAGTAGGTAGAACGGCTAAAACATGCTTCCCATGGAGTAAATCGTTAACGCTATCTCTTTGCTCGCGTTTAAGAATCAGTGCGTGTTTCGGCTCGAAAGTTAATTAGTTTTAGAAGAGCGGACTATTAGCATACTGACTCTGCTGACGAAAGCCCTCGTGCAGGTCGAAACTTCGAGATGTCTTTTGTCTATTTTAGGCAGCTGTTATACCACGTTTGATGCTAAGTTGTTTGAAGACGCTGCCACGCTACTTCCTGGTTATATTGGAACTTATCTACTTGATCTATATCAGAAAAAATCATCCCAGGCGGAGGTCGCTGTATTCCGATGTTATAAGACCTCGAGTATTGAGCAAAACGATTCCGAACAATTTACTACTCTGTGCCCTATAACTGAAGTAGAGGGATGGAATTGAAAATTGCTTCCGTGAAACAACGACATAGCAACTGTAAAAAAAATGATTTTAATGCATCAGAAATTTTCACATCAGCTACACAGATTTAGGATAAACAATTAAAGAATATTTTAAGAAAAAGTACAATTAATAATCTTAAATAGAATTCGTCCATAAGCTTTCCTGTATTTCATATGTCTCATTCCGTAAATGAAAGCATTCACGATGGAGTTTATTCCATAAATTTCGTAGTGAACAACTACGTACCAAATCTGCTGGCATGAATCACTACAAAGGTTGCGAAACATGGTACCGATTACTGTTGGTAAAAAACAACAGATAGCCAACACAGTAATTACTATAAAAAATGTTTTCATTTCTGTAAACGCTTGAAATAAACGAAGTACAACCCTGATCCTGCCTGACTTTTCGTTGTGGTTGCTGATGCCTTCCACCATAGAATCATCCATGATTCGTTTCCGTTGTTTTTGAGCTACACTTAAAATTTGGAAATTCAAAAGGAATATTACGGTAAGCGGAATATAGCCAAGAGGAACTAGTAATGGATATTCAATGCTGGGAGATAAAGCGCAAAGGCCTCTGATTCTATTGTTAAATCTCCCATAGTGAACGTGAAATATAACGTAAAGACAACAAGCAGTCAACCAGACTCCTGAAATAGCCAGAAATACTCGTCGACGTGTCACAATCATGGGATATTTCAGAGGTTTTTGGATGAATAAATAACGATCAACAGTTATTAAAAGAATTGTAGCCACTGATGCGAACGACAATGACCAGATGGTAGAACGACTTAACTTACAAAACAAGTCCTGATCACTTTCAATGTTTAATATAGTCTGAATAAACTCCATGATCCATAGTGGATAAAATGTTAAACACACGAGAAGATCCGCTAATGCCAAGTTTGCTATCAAATAAGATGTCGCTGTCTTTTCTTTACACAACAAAATTGTGTATATTATAACTGTGACATTTCCCAATACTCCAATAATCATCGCAATAAATTTAAAAGCAACTGAGAAGATAAGAACACTGCTGGCAACTGAAACAAATGTTGTCCCATTAGTCATTTTTGAGATTTGATATCGCTGTATATTAAAAAATGACAGCCAGAATCAGAGATGTTAGACTGAAAAATACGATAAGTCGATATACACCTGTGCGTTGAATGACAAATGCATGAAGGCAAATAATTATGATAAGTTTAAGCTAAGTTTGTTCAAAAAAGCTAATTATCATATTAAATAATGCCACGCGTAAGCCAGTTTTAGCAACCTACATTAAGTCAGCAATTATGATATTGAGGATATTCATTGTCTCGATGTGTCCTGAAATTAAGAAACGAAAAATACTCGAGAAACCTATTGCATGGAATTGCAATGCTTGTTGAAGCATTGCAATTCCATGCAATAGGTTTCTCGAGTATTTTTCGTTTCTTGAACAACCTTGAACGACTATGAGAGATTTGTTTTGATGAATTTATGTTCATTTAAGATCTAGGAGGAAATATTTGGACAGTTCATCTGATAAATTATCTGTGAATGAGTACAAGGAAATGCACGGAGCGTCGTGACTGCGTCAGGAGGAACTGATCTGGCGTGGGTTGTCATAATATTGACCGATAATGATTTCACAGCTTGCATGCTCAGTTAAGATCGTCGTTTTCAAAATACTGAAACGCTAAACTCCGACAAATAAGGGAAGATTGACTCCTGACTTGCTCCTTCAGAAGAATAAATAATGTTAAATTTAATGAGTCATTATTGGACTTTGTAAAATATTAAGGTTATTAAAATTGTTTATCATCATACACTATAAATTCAACAGGGTCAAAACGATTCCAAAAGAGTCGTTTTGCAACCTTAAAATGACTCTTTTATTTATAGCAATATTTCTTTTTCTTTATTGCTGCTCCAGCACGATATTCTTCTCAATAACAATCATTATTAGATGACGTGTGAAAATATTAATATAACTATACAAATTATAATTATATACGTTTTCAACTCATCGAAACTCAGACGAAATTCATTATGGAGCACAAATGAAGTCATCGAGAACTTGAAGTCCAGAAAATTTGGCCTCCAAACTTCTCCGAATGCACCAGAATGAACGACGTTTCGCCTGCGCCTGTAGATTATGGTCTATTAGTTGACATGCACCGAAGGACGCATTCGACGTTATATATATCAATTATGTAAATATCCAAACAAATATGTGTAATGTTGCAAATGAGACGATGCTCGTTGAAAACAATTAGTCGAGCGCAGACTAATTTTCTATATATTTATGGCATTTTTCGTTACGGGTTTATAGGGTGGGCCTGCGGACAACACACCCCGTATACTTGAACTTAACACTATTAATTTTTATATGCATCAAACATTATAATAGTCAGAAAACTATTATAACATGCATGCACGAAATGACCGTGAAAGTTTTCATCTCACACGAGAAATAATAACTCATAGTCCTGTGGGACGAGTTTTCGCTCAGCCGGCATGAATAAACCTTTCTTATAATGACGTCAAACGCGGAAAGTGTGATGTTACATGAAGTTTGATTGGCTCGATAGTTTTGTGGAGCCAATCAAATTTCATGTAACATCATACTTTCCGCTTTTGACGTCATTATAAGAAAGGTTTATTAATATTACAGAGATATAAAGCAGTCTTTTACACACAAACATCTATTCAGTTGAAATTACCAAACTGCGATACTAGATAGTCTTCTATAAAACTAAGTCTTACTGCCTTCAATAATTATGCCACTACGAGCACGTTAGAGCGCGCAGAGTAATCCACGAAGTCGAGAGAAATTTGATTTACGATCGCTATAGAAGGAATGACGCTCGCTTGGATGACATCGTAAAGGAAGTCATCGTAAACGACGTTCGACCCTTGTACCAAAAAGTCTACATAATGTTGAATGAATGTGCGTTTGAATGCACATAAGCTACATAATAATCGATCAGCGTGCAGGTGTTTTAAGATTGGAATATATTAAACTTGCGTTGAAAGAACTTGTGCAAAACAGAACTGCAAACTTATTTGCGTTTATGAATATAATTTATCACACTAAGCGTTCAACCAATGCGAGACAGGGATTTTACGGTAACGAACAAATTTGGCAGTCTCAGGCAATAGGGAACAATTTATGATCTTAACGTAAGTTTCGTTCGTTAATGAGGCTTTATAAGTCCTTCGGTCCATGTTAACTAATGAGAACATTTATGGGCTTTAATTTATCCACGAAAAATTGGCTGCTTGAATGATATCCCACCCTGTTATTCTCTTTGATTCCATGT